TTCCCCATGCAGCTGTCAGCCAGCAATAAAGATTTTCCATCCTGCTTTAAGAGTGTGCGCATATATTCTTTGATGGAGTTGCCTCTTAATTTCTATTTGGTTCTAAGAGTGTCTATATATATTCTCTTGTGCAGTTACTTTATAACATTCTGGAGTCCCCAGTAAGATTTTCAGAGATGGAGATGCCAGGCCACTGAGAGCTTCAGATCTCCTGGGCCAATATCATGGGAAGACAGCTGGTAGAGCATGTGCACTCGAAGACATTCCAGTATCCCAGGAAGTTCTCCCACCTCTCTTCCTGTTGACTCGGAGGCTCCTGACACCTCCACTGTAAATGTAAATGCAAAACTATAGGAAGTTTTCTGGGTCTCTCCCCTCCCTCAAGCCGAGTCTCTTTATGGTGCCTTGACACTTAGGAAAGGCTGGAAGTGGCCCTAATTATAATGTCTGGATCCATGTGAAATGCCTTTGGATCCCTTGGTTTTAGTATGTGTCCTGGCCACCTCTTGTCTTTATTTCTTTCTGCCAGTCTGCGTATCTCTATATATTTCTGTCCATTCCGTTGATTGGAGAAACTGTCCTGAAACGGGAGGGTGAGTGAGCCATCCTGTAATGGAAGTTTTGATTTCTTTGTATGTTATGTAAATATACTTTTGTTTTAATCCCAAGTGTGGGATTTTAATTGGGCTATAGTTTGTCCACACCTGTTACTTGTCTCTTGTGGACCATAGCTTTTGCCAGCTGGTAATGGCCTTCCATGTGAGGCATGGAGGGGGAATGTGGTCTAGGACTCTGAGGGTATAAATAGGAGGCTGAGCAAGAGACTGTGTGGTTTTCTGTATTGGTGTGTGGCATGGAGCAGTTTGGAGAGACTAGACATCAGAGATGGTACGGCGGTTTGGAGCAGACAGATGGAGAGAAATGCTTCATGGGGCAGCGGCGTGGAGGAGACTGCTAGCTGTGTCTGCAGTTGATGTAGGCTGGTATACAGCCCCAAAAGAACCCCTTGACCATAAATAGTTGGAAGAAGTAAACAGACCTGGGTTCCTTCTACCCACTAATCTTTTCTCTCTCTTACTTAAGGTTGGGGGTTTAGTGGAAGGGAGGTGGAGGCCTAAACACCCCATATAAAGTAGAGTTTTAAAAAAGATTGCTACAGATAGCTTTCTGCTACACAGTCCCAAGACACAGTGGAAGCACATGTTAAAATATTTCGAGGAGAATTTTGTGGGTGAGGCTATGTATGTCAACTAGTAGCTTCTCTGATGGGAGACCTGCCCCTGGCTTAAGACCTGCACCCCTTGATGGAGACCTGAATTGTTTTTGGCTCTGCCAGGTTGGACAGGTCACTCAGAGAAATCTCAAATCTCTGCCTGTTCTCTCAGCCTACTGGAGGAAATGGATTTTCTCCTGTCTGCCCCAGCTCTGCCCTGTCCCATGGAGATGCCGACAAAGTCAACACTCCAGCTGAGCTCCTCCTTGGTTCCACCCCTGTGAGCACTCCATCGTGGATGTCGAATCTAGTCAAGCTTCTGATGGGTGTAGTAGGTACTCGTCACTCTCAGTGCAAACTTCTCAGTAGAGCCCTCTTCTTCCAAGGGGCGAAGGGTCCGAATACATTATTCTTTCATATCACTCCATTTTGGATGGACTTGCTATGCAACAGTAGATAACTAGAATAGGAGTTAAAGTGTCTGTAAAGACTACATATCTGAATGACTTTCAAGAACCGATGAATGAAAACCTAAAATGGTGAGGCAGGTGGAGGAAGAAATTGGAAGTGTTTCAGAGGTTCACAAATTGGCGAGTCAATACAACAGGTGTGTCTAGATGCTTTGTTTTGTTGTTCTTTTGCTATTGTACTTACAGTCTTATTAAAAAGTTAATGTTAGAGCAAAGCAAGACCACCCAAGTTTTCTGGTCTAGGAGCATCCAGGCTCAAATCTCACCTGCCATCTATGGTGCATACCAATATGGCTAGTTCACTCAAAAGACTCCGTGTCTCTTCAGATGTCCTCCACAAAACCCATCTAGTTGCTCTGGGTTGCCATCTAGTTGGCTCCTTCCCACAGATTTGTCCTCAACTGGTGGAAACATCTTGCCTTGGAGGTCCTAGCACCCTTACTCCCCTTGGGCATGGTCCCCAGCAAAGGATAGATGGATAGAGGTATGTAAACGTTGGTTTCTGGCATAAGAGTAGTCACTCTGCAAGGAAGATAATTCACCCTGATTCTCTTGTCATGGAATGGCCCCTGGTACAGACTAGAGGTCCCCAGCTTTCCTCAGCCTGGAGTTGCCTTTTCACTGAGTGGTTGGTTTCCAAGTGAAATTCCCCTCACAGATCCCATGTCTCCAAATTCCAGTTTCAAACTCTGCTCCTGGGAATCCTAACTTAAGATAAATATCTTCTTTTAGAGTACTCTTTGAAGTCCCAGGTGTGCTGAGATGAGAAACTGAAATTGTCTAGCTTAAGCGTAGCAAAACTTGCTCAGCAAATGGTAACAGCTCTCCTCTTTTCCTTATTGCTATGAAGCGGGAAATGTGAGGGATTTCTTCAAACACAAAAGGTGCTCATGTGAATTTTTTATAATCAATACATGAAGGCTTTGTAAAAAGTAGTTGAGACATGGGGCTATTAATATTTATGCTTATTGTATGAGGTATATAGGTAGTTTTGCCAGTAGTGTTCATGAGTTCTCTGGAAGAAACTCGCAGTAGGAGACCCACCGACTCTCCATTTGGTGATGAGTGTGGATCAGTTCCTGCCTTCCCAGGCTGCTTTCACCCTGGTGTTCAGTAGAGTGAGTGTGATTCATCAGCTCTAAACCCATAGTGGATAGGTTCCTTTCGCAAAAAAACAGTCTTCAGAAAGATACCCAGACTTCAGGATAGCCTGTGTACATCTTCAGTGCTGGGTGTGCCTATATAGCCTGTGCCTATCCTACTCTCAATCACAGATCTGAAGAGTAATAGTAGAAGGTGTTAGAAACACAGCCTCCTGAGCTAAGCACAAAGGGGCTAGCGGCTTCATGCTCTGCTTACTACTCCGGCAACAATGCGCCCTCTGCATGATTTCAGTGTGTCTCCCAAACTCCACATCTTAGAAGCTTTATCAGAAGTGCAGCAGTGTTGAGGGTCGGGCCTTGAGGATGTGACAAGGTCAGTTGCACTCATGAGCTGACAGTAGGTATGGTTGGGTGCACAAGGTCAAGTCAGTCATCATTCTAGCTGGAATTGAGAGGTGCACAGGAGCCCTTACCCCTAACTGGGGGGCTATTGACAGTTGATAGCTTCTAGGGGAGAGAGACTCAGCCTTTTTTTAACTTAAGGGTGTGGCCCCTGATGGGTGATGGAGCCACACTCAGAAGGATATGAACAGCGCCAACTGGATTTACTGGGTTATTAAAATAATAATAATAATAAAAAAGAGGCTATGGAATCAGAATCGGGAGGGCATGGCAAGTTGAGGGAGTAGACCTCGCAGGAATTGGGGTAAACTCTTCCCAAGGATCAAACACATTGCATGACATTTTCAAGGAATAAAAATACGATGTTAAAAATAAGTGACAATGTCAGTAGAGTCCTGCTCCTAATAATTATGCATTCTATTATCACAGGAATAGGTTAGCTGTCCTGGGGTGGGCTTCTCACAAAGAGAGTTTCATTTCCTCTTTCCTCTCCCTCCACTCTTACCTTCTTACCTTGTGCCTTGGGGTGGCAAGAGACGGCCCTTGCCAGATGATGGCACCTTAGTGTCAGACTTCTTAGCCTCAGTGTTGATAAGAAATTTTCTTCTCTTTATAAATTATGCAGGCTGTGGAATCTTGTTACAGGAACACAACACAAAATAGACAAAGATAGCCTTCTGATCGTCGGCCCCATGTTTCCATTGACCCAGGATTTAGAACAGGGGCAGAGTGTGCTTTCCTGTATCTGTCAGAGGCATTTGCATACAATACCCTGCTGGCCCTAGGTAATGTTTCTGAGCCTGGGTGGTATCGGTTGGCACGAGTCTTAGGCGGTCATCTTTTCTGGCTGCTAATTTGTAGGTAACCAATCATCTTTTTCTTTCTGTGTCAAGTTGTTATTAAATAATGTACACATTATTACAGCTGGGAAATTCTTGATTGTCAAAAGAAGCTTGTATATAATATCTTTTTGAAAATCTTTTTGATTCTTTGTGAATTTCCTGTCATGCACCCGAATCCCACTCATCTCTCCATCCCTTGGTATCCATATCTGCCCTCTACCCCTGCAACTCCCTTCAAAAGAAAATAAAAAATAAAATTAAAAAACAAAACAAACAAAAACCCTATCTCATTGTGAAAGCTGCAGTGTGTCACAGTATATCTCACAGTATACCCTTTTGTCCAAATATCTTTACTTGCAAATATTCATTGCAATGAGTCATTGGCCTGGTTCGAGGCGTCTGGCTTCTGCTACTCTATCAATACTGGATACTCAGCAGGACTCAGCTAGGAAACTCTGTTGTTACCCCATGTCATGTAGGTCCTGCAGCTTAGGATCTGCATGATTGGCCCCTTCACACACTCCAACAATTCATGGGGTAGGTGTTGGGGTGGGCCAACTCAAAGCCCTGGATCTGGACCTGGATGTAATTGAGCTGGTCAGCCTGCCAGCTCTCCCGAAACCACAGCACCCTGGCAGGCGTCCCAGCTAGCTCACCCAATGCCACGGCCGGCAAAGCCAGTGCCACAGTGGGTAAGGAACAAGGTGAGCTCTTCTGTTCTCAAGCCAGCTCACTGGAATCTTTGCCACCAGGGCCAGCTCTACTGTAACCAATTGATTTTATGTGACTTACTGCCTGTGAGTGTATTCTGTCTCAGAGAAGTTTGTGGGCAGTGAGCCACTTCACACGGGTATTAGAATACCATTCCATTTGGAGTCTGGATATTAAATCCAACCTTGACACCTCTCATAATTGTGAGCAGATGGATTCACAGGTACCCACACCAGGAGCCAGATTCACTTACTTTGGTCATTAACACAGTTTATTATTGGCACACTTACCAGTAAAGCATACATAAAATACAGCTGTTTTATGACACACAGAGCCACTGTGTCTTTACATGTATAGAGGAACATATTAATATGCAAATGGAAAATTAGTTCTCTTATAAAGTTTCACATAAATACACTGAACTTGCCCCAAAAGAAAAGTCCTCATAAAAGAACCAGGTGAAGGATTTACAAAATATTATACAAGCATGGAAAAAAACAAAACAAAACAAAACAACAACAACAACAAAAAAAACCCACCAAAACTCAGTCAACTCAGATACAATTAAAAATAAAAAAGAGGAAATACAAAAAGTTTCAGGTTTATTAAGCTTCCCACAAAATTAATGGATACATGGCTTGGCTTGAAAATATTTGGACCCACAGCAAGTTTACAAATGCATACATTTCCCAGGGTCCATTTGTCTTTGTGTACATAATAAATCTACCCATATATCTTTGATGATTCCTTGTTTCAGTACTTAGCCTAAATTGAAACAACTCAGACCCAAGAACCCTTTAGGGTCAGCTTGTCAGAAAGTCACCTAGCTGTGTCTTCTTAGGGACTTGACACGCGGAAAACCAATGGAAAGTGAGGCGAGGAAATGGGGTTCATTTAAATTACTTTCCCAAAATGAACTTTTTTTCTTTTTCTTTTTTTTTCTTTTTTACTGAAACAAGAAACTCTCAAATGCAAGTCAAAAAGCAGAAAATATTTTACAATATTAAAAAGTCATCTGTAGTTGGGGTCGGCATGTTACTGAGATCCTGAGCACAGCATGGCCTTCTTCGGGTGCGTGGACAGTAAATTCAACACAAAGAGGGAGGTGAGACCGTGCCAGGAGGTGCGCGAGCCTCCGCTGCTTCTAATTACTGTCAGGGACAGTGTCTGTACTTCTCGTGAAGGCCTCCAAGGAGAGGCCGTGGAGGCTCATTTGAACGATCCTCTCAATCAAAAAAGGAAAAAAAAAAAAATTGCAAGAAAGAAAATCAGGTCATGTTTAGAAATAGATGTTTGCATGGAAACGTTTTGTTTGTGTGTTTTAAATTTCACCTCTTTCCTCTCCTGATAGTAGAGATTTGCGACTGGAATTCTACCCAGCGGGGGCCTATGGGCAGCGGAATCGGGCGCCATCTTACTGGGAAGCCTGGGGTGGGGGGTTTTCTGATTTGGTCTCTTGCGTGGCGGGAGGTTTACTGTTCCACGGGCTGCTGTTCCCCAGGGCAGGTGAACTGTTGAAGTCTTCTTCGTCGTCCATGCCGTTGGCCGCATCATACTGCGTGTTTTCTAATCTAGTGATTAGCCTTTCGTCCTCGTCCCCAAACTCACCTCCCATCAGAGTTGGCTCTCCTACCACCATCACATCCTGTGAACAGCAGCTGACATTATTACAGGGAAACCTTAGGGGAGAGAAGCTCAACCTAAAACAACAATGAGAGGAGCTCAGGGGACCTAGGACAGGCACACTCGTGTGCGCTGTGCAACCGGGTCAGTTCTCAATGTCGGGGGGCCGAGACGCATATTGGATTTCTACAGGAAATAAACATCGCCTCCTGATGTGTAACAACCACGCGAGTTTATGTCCTTAGTGCGCAGCCTGACACCGGAGAACGAGCAATGCTAGCAATCTGCAGAAATAAAAAAATGGATTTTTCAAAATTAAAAAAATCCACGCTTAGAACTTGCTGACCCGGGGCACATTTGAGTGGGATATGGAACCTTTTTGGCAATACTTCCAAAAATCGCACCTCCACTGAGTGCTTGTGAGTGGCCCTGTCTATTTGCAGAGAGCTGGGACACACTGGTAGATAAGGTACCATTCTGTAATACCTACACAACTCATTCCAAGCAGTACTCTGTCCCCAGGATGATATACATTTTAATTGAAGACAGAATCCCTCTCTTCTCTACACTGCCAGGTCCTTTTATGCAGCCAATATCCTTGACATTCTGCTACTTAATTATGGTAATTAATTTAGGTAAAGTTTTCGATAAAAACAATGTTCACACTGATTTGACAATTTGCATAGCTAATTAAGTCATTAGCAAAAACCTGCTGATTGCCAACAAGCCCTGAATTTACCATCTGTTATTTCATGGTGCCTGTCACCTATCTCCACAAGGCAACCCTGCTACCAATCTGGGCAGTAAAGAGAACCAGTCTGTCCAGCTGGTACCATAAAAGAAAGATGAAGAGCAAGCTAATTATAATTATGCCAATGGAGCTGGTAGTCATCAGGGATGTGGGCATGCAAAAAGAATCCAAGTAATCACTCCTTTAAGTACGAATTGTCCTTCCACGCAAACAAGAAAACCACCTACTCTAGCTGGGAGCTCCCGTCGAAGTCACAGCTGGAAAAGCCAGGCCTGTGGTAAAGGTAGGGATACACCCAACACACAGGCCAACTTCTATGTTCAAAAGGGATTATATTGGGATAATGACCCGGGTGTGGGGCAGGCTATCTGTCAGGTAGGTTCTTCCAGGTAGGGTCTGAGCAGCGTTTACTTAAAGGTTCAGGGCTTGAAGAGGGTAGATTGCTCTCAGTCTTGCTAGGCCAGCTGCACTGCAGTGGCATGCAGAGCTTTGAAAGAAGCTAATTCAGTAAATGTTTGACCCCTGGGCTTTTTGTATTTTTAAACCCTGGGGAGCTTTCCCTACCATCTGGAAAAGGAAGCCACATTCTCTAATACTGACTAGCACTATGAAGGTGTCCATTGAACACATCCCCTAATTACCAGCTGCTTGACTCTGAGATGAAATTTTATTCATTCCTTCCCTGCTCGCTTCCTTATTTGGATGAGATGATAAACAGGTTTCCACACTATGTTTTTTGACTAGTCATTCTTGTGAACTGGTAAAACTGCTTTTAAGGAGAAATGGTCCAGATGGAGTAAATGCATAAAATGTGAGCTTCGTTAACTCAGAAATAAAGGTACTACAAAGGGTACTGGCCAGAAACTGAACTGGGTGCTTCCAAGAAAGTGTTTACTAGGCAGTGAAGAGCCAAAAATGACACTGACATGTCAGGAGACTCATGAGGACTCTTAAGATGAGATGCAAAATAGACACTGTCTTTCTGACTGGTAAGAGGGACCGCGTGGTTTTAGATGGAGTGTAGATACCGCACGGACTTGTGAACATTATTCAGTTAGCTGCGAGGCCACCATTTCACTCACAGGAGTTGGAGGATAAAATGTGTCACTTAGGTATAGGCAATTAGGAGGCTGTACTTATGATGAAAAACAAAAGGAGGTAGAAAGAATAGGGAAGGAAAGATTGGCGGAGCACAGCATAAGCGTTAATGAACACACCTGGAAGGCTTTGAGGAGCATGCATTGAGTGTCACCAAGTGGGAGAAGGCCATAGAAGCAAACACGTGGCTCTGTGTTAGTACTGTGATTTCCAAGGCCACTGAGAGGAGCTGAAAGAGTATGAAGGAGTGAAGGGTGGTTTAGAAAGCAGAGGAGAAATGTAAGAAGTAGCCAAATTAAGTGTCACTTGAGAAGGAAAGTCCCCGGCACTGCAGATGTGGTCTCTGCATTAGAAAATGACATTCATGCAAGAAATACAATAGGCATGTAGTGATTTGAGTCACTCTAGTGGGGTTCTGGCATAGGCTTATAATATGTGGAGAACTGCTCTCCCACACTCACTCTAGAAATAGCAGGAAAAGATGCCCAGGCCTAGTCGTTTGTAAACGTTCTAAGTTTCAGAGAGATGTTATATTGGCTTTATTGGTTATTTTAGAAGTATTTGTAATTAGAAAGATAACTCTGGGTGTGAGTGTGTTTGTGACTTAGTTGACTAATAGCTGGCTAGCTATAAACGACTAAGAACTTTAGACTTTATGTGTGCGTAGATACTTGAGGCTATTTTATGAACATTTCCATTTGGTTTATTTCACACCTTTACAAAAGGACAGGGATGCTCTGGCTGTCTCTACTTGTTACCTTTACACAAAGTAAGTGAAAATATGTTGTATATTGCAGGCTGCTGTTAGCTAGGGGATGTGAAAAGCAAGTCCCCGCCCCCATGTCCTAGAAATCCCACTTTAGTAGTGAGAGTAAATTTCCTTCCCATCTCCAGCCTTTGTGACCCACTGGGGGCACAGGAATCCATCTGAGAGTAGCCCACAGGCCCTCAGTTCCCCATGAGGCTGACCTCTGCCCCTGAGCTGGGAGCTTGGAGGTGCTTTCCCCCATTTCACACCTTCTCACTAATCCCCCGTGCAAGGACCACCAACCTCTGAGGAGGACTGGAAGTGACTCCTTTCAGGGCCCCTCAATGCTTCTCCTTAAATTGGCCAGAAGGGGTCACTGCTGTTGAATGACACAGGTCTCCATCCCTCCCAGGGTTGAGGCTGCAGTTCGGGATGGCTCCTAGCCCCTGCTCATGAAGTGAGAAGCAGAATCCAAGGATTAAACCCTAGTTCTGACCACATACATACACGCACGCACACACACACTGTCGATGCAGAAGCTATGCAGGCCAGGGCTGTGGTCATTGGCTCGGTAGCCGATGCCTGCAGAGCATTAACAATAAGATGATATTGATTCAGTAGAAACGGGATTAAAAGCTGTGGTCACTCTAGTTTAAAATCCATTGAATTTGAAGCCACTTAAGAGTCTGCACATTTTCATAGCTTGATTCTCTTCCTTGTTTTCTTTGCTCACCTGAAAGCTTTATATAATGAAAATACCTTAAAATGCTTGGTACAGGGACACTGCCAACACTCATCTTTCTAGTCAGTGGTGCCTTGCTCATACAAACTTTACACTCATGAAAATTCCCCAATGGAGCAATCCTCTACCCAAAACCACTTCTTGGCTTAGAGGACAGGAGGATCATGGAGTGGAAAAATCTATGTGTTTGTTAACATTGAAATGATCCCACCCAGACGAGGTATGCCAAAATATACAAGGTACAACACTTTGACTTTCAACGTTTACACTCATGGCAGACATCACTAATGGATGCCCTACCAAAGACTACCTGTCAGAATCCTTCTCAATATGGTGCTCTGTGAGATGGCATGAAAGTGAAAACTTCTTGGTCATGCCCATGTTAAACAGCGAGCTCCTTAATGACAAAGCCCCCTTGGCCTTGTTTTCAAATAATGTTTTAATCTTGGGGTTTCTAATGCCTTGCAGAACATCACATACAGTAGGAGCCTAGAGAATGTTTGTTGAGCAGAAACTAAATTCCTTCAACAACCCTGCTTTTCATTAGCAACATCATGGTTTCAGAATTCTTGAAAATCCATTTTCTTTGTTTGCTAGAGGAGCCTAACAAATATTAGCCTCTAAACTCAGGACTAGAGTTTAGAAACTCTACTTGGGTGGACATTTTCAGTCTATTTTTTTAGACCGGGACTTTTTTTTTTTTCCATTCTCCAGTCACATTTCTATGCAACCAGGAGCAGGTATAATTTTTCTGGTTCCTTAATAAGAAGGCATAGATTTTCTTTGCCGACTTTTCCCCTTTGATCATCACGAATGATGAGTCAAAGTTCTATTTGGAAAATAGAAGACTGCTTGGGAACTTACTGTATTACTTGAGGCTGATAATTCTTAGCAGTCTTAAAATTCAAATGACTCCTTCTATGGCTGGTGGCTATTGTTTCCACTATTCTCTTCTCTTCAATGCAGTGGGGATGGAAATCACACCCCAGTTTGCAGGAGATAGGAAGAATTTCAGAGACTCAGGGAATCCTTGAGCACTGGGTTTATTTTGTCTAAAGAGAACTGACCGATAAGAAGTTGTTGAGGGGCAGATTAGAGAGGCACATTTGCAAGCAGGGGAATTTCCAGATAAAAGTTTACTCTTGCAGAAAGAGGTGAAGCAGGATTAGACAGAGGCTGGCAAGAACAACAGATAAAGGGTGGAAAAGGAAAGGAAGCCAGACTAGGGGAGCAGCGTACCTCCAAAGTCAGTTTCTAGAAGTCATAGTGTCAAGGAAGGGTCAGGATTCAACAAAGTCAAATGTTTGGTGACAGTCATGAGCATGGGCAGAGGAGCCACAAGGAATCATGGCGGGTGGTGACAGCAGGTGATTGTAAGGAGAGGAGTATTTGAAAGTGCCAGTCTATTACTGTAATGAGAAATTGGAGGCAGGAAAGGCCATGGCTCAATTTGAGAAGAGTCAACCAGTGACGAAGAAAGCTGTGCAATCTACTCTCTTTGGACTCAAGCTTCAACACTTAATTTCAAAGTTCCATCCAGCCCTCCACCCCTAAATGCAAGCAGCCTTTGGCTAGGCCCAGAGGTAAAGGGAAGAAGTCAGGGAGTCAAGAGGTGAGGTCAAGCTAGGGGCTGGTTCTATGTGGGCTAATGATGTGTCAGATAGAACTTTCCTGAGCTGCACTTTTAGTGGCTGTAAGCTAATTACCTGGGTCTTAAATAAGAGGGGAGGCCCTTACTGGGGAGACCCAGGCAAATTACAATATGGAGCCAGCGCTCAGGGGACCAGTTTCCAGGGGCATAGTGGGTCTCCAAGGCTGCAACCGAGAGGCCTTAATTTGCCACCAGGCATGCTGCTAAGTGATGCTTTAATTAAACCTCGAGTGCCATATCTCCTGTCAGTGACTATGATGACTTTTTAATTCAGGTCCCATCACAGCACAGACTCTTAATATTACCTCCTGATTCCTCATTTGCAGGGGACGTTACCATGGTGTGATTCCTACCTCTTGACCCATTCCATCCTGTCCCTGCTGTGCTCCTCCCTCCCACCCTCCAAATTACCCAGAACCTTTCTTTTTCTTTTTTCTTTTAGGTTCAGAGAGAAATCCCAGCCCCTTGCGTTGGGTGAAGAGGAAAGGCAAGGCTTTAGGCCTAAAAGCAAAGTGAGACTTACAGGTACCTGACTGGACAGGCTCAAACTTGCAGCCGGGGTCTTCTTCTTGCTGCCGGTGCTATTGGTGGCATTCCCGGCACTGCTGTTGGAAGTGCTGCTCGTGGAGTTTTTCCTTTTTCTCCTTTTGGTTGTCGGTTGCCTTGTGGGTTCTGCTGTAATAGGGAAAAGGGAAGAAGGAGGGATGCACTCTATGAGGCAGGCATAAGAGGCACCCTTTAGCCTCCTGTCCCTCCAATGGCATTCTTTTTACACATCGAAAAGAGAGCTATTTAAAATGTTCCCATTTTGTGTAATCCAAAAATAACAACAAGAGAAAATGGTCGATTTATTTCTAGCATAAAATGTGTGAAACTCTTTTCTTCTGCTTGTAGCTATGACATGATTTTTATTTAATTGTTCTGTCTAATTATATGTCTATGATTCATTAATAGTACTTTAGGGGCAAGCTACAGGTACCACTTTCATAATTTAATTTAAAACATTTTTACCAGTAGAAAAGTCGGGAACTGGCCTACTTTTTCTCTCCGTAACAAAGGAAACAAAGATCCCGTAGGTACCTCAGAAGATGCAGGGTTTGTCAAAGAAGTATTAACACTGGCAAAGCTATGTGCAACACTTGCCCCTACTATATTCATGGCAGCCTGCCTCTCTCACATCTTGATATTTTCGGCTTTCACAGTTGTGGTGAGATAGGAGCTTCTCAGCTGTGTAGGAATACCCAACGGTTTTGAATCTGGTCTTTAATAAGTGCTATCTAATAACTGCAAAATTCTTAGAAAGAATGTATCAGTATGGTAAAACGAGAAAATGAGGGAACATAGGCTTTCTCAGGAATGGACTATTCAGAAATAGTAAAAAAAAATATTTTGGATTTGAATAATGGCACAATTATTTACTGGTTGTGATCCATGACAATGTGCAGTGAGGATTATTCATTTACTTGTTGTCTCTTTGTTTTGTATTGAGCTATATCCAATGTAGTACCATGCAGGCACATCCACATCCACGTAGTTCTGCATCCCTATGTCCCAAGGCATGGTGGGAATGCTCCTACCTAGCAACCTACCGTTCTTGGCATCATCCTCCTCCCTTTGGTAGCCCTTCATCTCCAGAACTTCTGAGACCATGTTTACAAAGACCGTGAGGACTGAAAGCGTACCTGGAGGGGCCACCATCCGCTGCCACTTCTGAAACAGGCAGGTCTTCAGGCAGTCTCGGGGACTGAGGTTGTAGGTTTTGTGTCTCGACATCAGTTCCTGCATTGGCTCCAGTATTACACACAACTGCAAAGAATTCAAAGTCACTGGTGTTCTGCTATTTGATCACATTAATTACAATATTATTCCTAACAGCTGGAATTCATTAGACAGCTTAAGGGCTCTGTTTTCTTTCTTTCCCTGGTTTTCATTTTCTCTATGTAAGTTTGAAGGGACAGAAATATCACCCACACTTGATTATACCCACTTAATGTAGTACCATTTATAACCTGGTATTACAGCAGGATGTGATTTACACACACACACACACACACACACACACACACACACACACACACACACACACACTTTTCTGTACAGACTTCTGGTTGTACACAGCTCCGTAAGGAAACAGGCCTTTCTTTCCCTGGATAAGGAAAGTTCTCTCTTCTGTGGAACTCATTGCTCTGATTTCTGCTCTGGCTTCTGGCTGCGGTTCTTATTTGTATAACCTCACACTGAGTTTCAGTGCCGGTTTACAAAGAGTATCTGGCAGGGACCTGCGTCTTTTAAACTTTGCAGAGCAAGGCATTGTTTCTTTTTTTAAATTAATTTATTCAGTTTACATCCTGACTGTAGCACCCTTCTTCCTCTCCTCCTGGTCCCACCTTCCTCCCTCCCCCATCTTCCCTCCTCTTCTTCTCAAAAAGGGGAGCCCCTCTCTCTACCAACCCACCCCAGCACATCAAGTCAGGAGTGAGCTTGTACTCTTCCCCTATGGCCTGTCAAGGCAGCCTGGTGAGGGAGAGGTGATCAAAAAGCATGCAATAGAGTCCATATCAGAAACAGCCCCTGCTCCCCTTACTAGGAAGCCCACATGAGGCCTGAGCTGCCCATTGGCTACATCTGTGTAGGGGGCCTAGGTCCAGTTCATGCATGGTCCTTGGCTGGTGCTTTGGTCTCTGCAAGTCCCTTTGAGCCTTGGTTAGTTGACCCTTTGGTCTTCTTGTGCAGCTCCTGTCCCCTCCAGGTCCTTCTATCCTTCCCCTCACTTTTCTACAAGGTTATGTTTCTTGATGCTGATTCTCATAAAGGCAGATGATGTGTTTTTATTAATGTGCTCATTTTTATTTTTATTTTACCCATGAAGATCATGTAAATGGCATGTAACCGTAGTCACTCCATGTGGGGGAATTTATTCTGACTCTACATTTAGTCACCTTGTTGTCTCCTTTTTCAGTTTTACTTTGATCCAAGACATCTGATGACAAAATTGAATGAAACAAAAAGACAAGTCATTTAGGATGACCATAGACTTTTCTAGATTACTTTGGTTGTATACATGTCAGAACATCACTGCACTGAGAACTTGCTACCTACTAGGACAAAGTCTGTGACTTGGAATTAACTATCCATCACATATGAGGGCTACAGTGATGCAAATGTTGATATGTGCCTGCTCCTGTGCAAAGCATGGTTGGCTTAGGTGAGGCACATATGCAACCCCCTACCCCCGACTGGCTTCAGCTTCTCTTTGACTTCCTTACCGCCTCTCCCCTTCTATCAGCCCTCACCTTCAGCATCTTCCTTTTTGCCCCCTGAATTTTATTATCTTCTCCTTCTGGTTAATGCCCGCCCCATCCTTAAAGACTGTTACCTTCCTTCATACATCTTCCCGTGTATGCTGCAGTGGCATTGCTCTTTTCCACTAGGTAAGACTCTTGGAATGTTGACCTTTTGCTTTGCCTTTTACATCTGTGTCCCTGCTTTGGCTCCAATGAACAGACGCACCTGAGCAGTAATTTTTAGGAAGACCGAAAGACCTTTTTCAGCCCAAAGAGTAGTCTAAAGAATGTGTTCCTCAGAACCATGTGATCTGACCACTGAGAACACAGATTTTGACTCTCAGCCCCTTCTCATGGAGTCTGCACATGAGGCCCTGAGCCCACACTCCAAAATTCCTCACCTGCATATAATTTTATCACTTCTTAGGAGAGTTTCAGGTCCTCTGCCCACAGATTCTGGGCTTCCCAAGGGAAATCACTACTCTGCCATGTTTCCAGTTTCTGTCCATTCTTTCCTCACTTCTTCCTTCTTTCCAAGTCCCTCCCCACCCCACATCTCAGCAGGATCACAACAAACTTCACCTAGAAAGAATTCACTTATTAATGACAGATTTGCTAAATGCACTAACCCTATCTATAGGTTTTCTGTAAACTTCTTTCAGTGTCCTTGGAAGAAGGAAGAGTTTGAAGGCTTAGCAACACACATACGGTGTTCAGCAGAAGTGAGTGAGAAAGTTTTTCTCCCGGTCCTTGGGAACCCAACAATACAGATCTCTGAAGCACTACAACCTGGAATTGCTTGCTAGACCTTCAACCTAGTGAACCTTCATACTTAGTTTAGGTTCCTCTTAAAAATCTAAAATGCCAAAGAGAAATCAGAAAAAGGGACAGAGTTCTCTTATAATTAACTGTGTTCCAATGTGGTGAGGTCTCTATGTGTGCATTTTCCTATTAAGAATTCTTTCCTGGGATTCAAAGGATATACAGAGCACACGCTTCAGCAATGCCACATGGTCCCTATTGGCAGAACTGAGAGCCATTCACCCTCAGAGCAAAGCCAGGTCATATTCAGGCAGATTCAGAGATGTTTGCAGTCATGATTACGGCAAGAAAAACTTTCAGAAATTCCAAGGACTGGGAAACATTTTTTGTTTTCGTTTTCAGCAAACACACAAAGAGCAAAGGGCTTGAAAATTATTTTCTTTCAGTTCACGTCTTTTTGTTACACACGCAATCGTGATGGCTATAAAAGACACGGGTGAGTGGAACAAGCTGGCGAGTCTCAGTATGGAACCTGACCGTCATCCGGTGGGTCTCATTGGACATGCTGCTGGAGAGCACCAGGTTTCAGCTTCATCCACAAAATAGATACCTACCTCGTACTCTGAGAACTCTCGGTAAGGTGGCGCACGCACAAGTGTTCAGTGCAGCTAGATTATGGCACAGTTGCTGGGACGCACAGCGTAAACCAAGCAGCACCACACTTCCTTTCTTGACATCCGCAACCACTCACTGAGCTCTGCGCTCAGCTGTTGGGAGCTAGGCTTTTGTGTTGGGAACACCAAATACAAAACAACCTTCTGCCCTCCAAGAACATACTGTCCCCTTAGAAATGATTTAGACAGATTAAGAAATCTACCCTTGGTTCACAGTTCAAGTGTCTCAGGAAATCACCTCCTTTTGACAAAACTGTTTTTCATTATTTGACAGGATGACAAAGATGACCTTCTTAGACTCAGAAAGGGTGACTGGTACGGAGTAAGGTATGGACTGGGGGAACTGTACTTACCATAAGAACTCATGATTTTTTTTTTTTTTTTTTTTTTTTACACAGCCTGTCCTCTCTGGATATTGGATTTTTTTTTTTCCCCCAGAAGCTAATCCTTAAAATCTTTCTCTTCCACTTTAACATGGAAATATCTTTCTATCATTGTAACCCACCCCAAAGAAGCTTGCATCTTTGCATGCTAATCAAGAATCCTCACGGCCATTTCTTAGCATTGGAGAGGTCTGGGGCTGGAGCAGCAGCCCGCCCCTTTATTCATGTATGCAGATGAGCCATCATATCTGCTGTGCTGACACAGTGGCTTTGCTGTGCTGTGTGCTGTAGGTGGCAGAGCTAACTCAGATAAGAGCAGGTCTCCTGAGCAGCTAGGCATTACATTTGGGCAACAGCAAAGCCTTGCAACCTTTACAACATAAAATCAGGAAGATGATTGGGGAAGTAGGTTTCTGTTGGACCCAACCAATTCTTGGAGCTGTGATCCTTGCTTTCTGATGTCTCAGAACCTCTTGAGAATATGGCTTGAAAGTTGTTGAATTCACCAGTCTCATATGGTAAATGTTCCTTTTTTTTAAATAATAAGTGTGAGCCAGACCATGGCTCATTTTTCTTATGCTCATTGTGTGTTCCTGTGCACACACACACACACACACACACACACATGCATGCACGCACATTAATGGAATGAATTCAGCATAATAATACAAGTCCATTGATTTGGAAGAACAATTTTATACAAAGCTGTGCCTGCTCCCAAGTTCCCAGCACATGAAAAGAAAGATGACAATCTGCAAGTCTATAGCATCTGCCACATCTACAACAGCACCCATGCAGGACTGAAGTTTAATTTTGTCTCCTACAGTGGTACTGTAGAGTGCCTCCTGGAATCCCAGATGGCTGGCGAAAAGGTAGGACCACCAAGGTCCAAGAGGAGGCTGTGCCATGAGTACGCTTGATTATGAAGCCTTTCAACATGTGTGGCTGCCCAGGCTAGTTAGGACCCCAGAGAAGACAGTGCTCATTCTCAAAAAGCTCAAAGAATGCAACGTTGCAGATTTAGGGAGAGTATAGGCTGGGCTTGCTCTGCATGCTTCTGTTCTGACTTTCTGGGATCCTGACAAGAGGGATTTGCTGAATGAATGGATGCATGGATGGATGGGTCAGAGAGTGAAGCCAGATTAATAGTAAGGAGTCATTTGTCAGGAGTGGACAACTCAGGCACAGACCTGTGGGCTTAGAAGTGATCAATCTATTCAGCCAATAAATGGCTGATGGCATCTTCGGTGCACAATGCCTGACCCAAATGTGTATGTGTGTGCTGACTGGGCAGGGAGGCTTGGGTAATACTCATTTCTGCAATGTCATATCCACAGAGAGACTAGCCAATGTGGACGGTGTATTATTTCACTTTGTTTCCTTTTCATCTGATAGTTTTCCTGGAGGATTCTGATTATCTTCAGCTGCGCACTTACACTCTACACTCGTCTGGCGTTGAAGAAATAAGTGGCACTTGTCTGTGTTGGCCTTAAGCTACCTTGAAGCTGGAGTCCTGGAGTCAGCACGTGGTTGCCACTAAGTGCAACCAACATTTGACTCCTATTCTTTTTTTAATAACATATGAGTGTGAACTACATATTCTTTTGGGCTATGTATATATATGGTGTGTATATGTGTGTGTGTGTGTGTGTGTGTGTGTGTGTGTGTGTGCCCGCCCGCACTGTGCTCCATGTAAAAGAAGA